TTTAACTCCATTTCCGTGGATTAACTTAGATCACGACTTACAACGTCAAGCTACCTGGTTAATCCATAACCATCACTGAATTAAAGGGAACATGGTCAGCATACACTTTAACCGATACTTTGGTCTTACTTTCTAACTGGAAATTTACCAGAGATTCAGATAAAATTATAACCCCCATCGATATTCGACAATTTAATCAATCATGTTGTATGAAAAAGAACGAGATTGAGGATTTGTTTAGCGTGAAATATGTAATAACTCACGATTAAAACTGCTAGGATCAAATAACTTCGCTTCCTTTACCAAATATTTATCAATAAAATGCATGACTGGAAAAGAAGTACCGCAGCTATCGAAAATGTACAGCTACGTGTCGAAACTTGATAAATCGGTTGTGTGAGGAAGTCTCTTACAAAGGGATGTGTTTAGTATTTCTGCATTACACTCTTTCAATTATTATTAATGATGTAATGGTAATGCTAATAAAATTATAAATCGTTCGTTATCAATTACAAAATTACCGGTTTGGGTTCTGGTTCACGTTACCTTTAAAATATAACAATTACTCTGCTCCTCAAAGATTTGTATCGTTTTGGCAATGGTTTTTGTAAACACTTCCTCCTCATCATCCTCCTCCTTCACCGCTACTTACCCCCTACGATGGTTCTATTTTCTTAGCGATTCGTGATAGTGGTTTGCAATTTGTAGCTAACCTTTTCAGCTATTTCGCCGTATGGTTAACGAGTTCCACTTACACAAGCTAACGTAAAAGTAACATCCACATCACGTTCTATTAATGATATTGGTCAACAACCAGTGGAATGATTAGACGAGACAGCACGCATTTTTGAACGAACTAGTCGAAGATCCCATACAGAGAAATTCCACCTATGTCTTTATAGCCTATAGTAAAGTTAATCATTGCGTATGCTCATCGAAGTGGATATGTACGAATCTGCCTAAATCAATAAGAATCAGATATCAGGGTCGGGTTAGAACGCAATTCATCGAGCCCTTTCCTCCCTCCAAATTTTGGTATAGCTTTAGGTGATTGCATTTCTACAAGAGTGTGGATTCCACGTTTTCAATTGTTTAGTGAATTCCGCTTTCATTGCTGTAATTTTTTATCTATCTTTAAAAGTGCAAAACCGAGAAAAATGTGCAATTTCCCTTAGCTTTCGACGTAATTTTATTTATTTAAGTGAGTCTAATGCAAATTGCTCTATACAGATAATACCTACTATTTAACGTAGGTACCTATAGGATATCCCGTAATTACCTACCTATACATTTTGGAAGATTTCGATAGTGGTACTACCTTGCCCCTTTGGATAATTTCTGTTAAATCTAGACATACTTATCGTAATAGTATTATAGGGTTATTAACCTGTACAAGACACTGACAGTGACAGTCATGAAAAACGACGACGTTTGCTTTTTTCTGTTGAATTACCTATAATACATGTTAATAATGAAATGCGCTATTCTATTAGTTCCTTCTCATCGATCCACGCAATAAGATAGTGTTTCGCAAAATTTAACGAACGAACCTCCAAGCGGTCCTACATCATGTTGGGATTACGTTATTTTGATTTGTAGATAAAAGTGTGAGAATTCGTTCTAAGCAGGTACCTATACAGCACTTTAAATGGAACTGTAAGTTGCGTAATGTACCTAATTCATCTTTTTAATTTCATATACTGTATTTTGCCTGAGGATCACCTCCTAATAGAAGATGCATTCTAGAAAATATCAAATTTTTTGCTACGCTCTGAACTGTGTTACAAATAAAGTGGATAGATGAGGTATGTACGGGATATTTGTTTATTCCCTACTACTAAATCCTAGCTAGGTTATAGCCATTTACTCTGACTCAAATGTTTTCGTTACAAGATCCATCCTTAATTTAAATCTGCTGCCATTTGTTTCCGATGTAATTAATGTGATAAACTTAAGTACCGAACCCCATTTTTGCATGTGTCATAAGTAGTGGTGGAAATTTATCTTCATCTACAGTTTCCCATCCCCAAAAATGCGTGACATGTAGGTAGCTAATTACAGTTTCTAAAACAGATAAACACTGATTTTGGAACAAGGACCAGGCTGTTAAACGAGGAATTCCGAAAACCTTTTGGTAGACATACCTGAAGTTCGTATCGCACTTGAGGAAGATACCTAATTATCAACTTATTGGGGACCACAAAAGAATGGCCAAATACGTATAAATAAGGTAGCTTACTTAGCAATTGTTTATTTCTAAGTATAGTAATTATTTTAGGGTTGCTGCAATAACAGATCAAATTGAGCATTCGTGGGTCCATAGGCGAAAATTCCTTTCGACAGCCAAAGTAGACGATAGTTTGTTCCATAGGGGCTATACATAATCATTTTCGTGTATTTGTTTACAATTAAACAAGGATTTTGCATGTTTTTCTCACACCTCGCCCAATAATGATCAAACACGGTAAAATTTCAATTATTTACCATGATTTAAACTAGAGCAGAATAATTCAGTGGTTACTTTGTGACAAATCAGATATTTTCCATTGTCAATGCGTCAGTTCGATTTCGATTACGTTAAAGGAAAAAATTGTATGTACGTCTAGGCGCTTCCTCAGCAATTTATGATTTTGGTTTATATGATACAGTTATAACATTCTTTTAACATAAAAAGTCATTTAGATAAACAGCTCCTTTTCTGCAGGGTATATAATTAATACTAAAACATTGGTTTAGTTCTTCGATTTTTACACACCGCACTACCATTGAAATATAAATCAAACTTCGTGGTAGTAGTAGTGCGGAGTCCAATCTCAAATTAAAAGATTGTTTAGTCAGTTTGCTCAATATACAGTAGACGCCGATCACATTTACATGTTTTCGAACACTGCACGTTGAATTTCATACACTATTCTTCCTCAACCTCTGAAAGAAATTTCAATTGTTTTCTAATATCACGCTATTGAACTAGTAATCTGTATTGATTGTTATATACAGGATCCTCGAAAAAAGTGTATCCGATTTAAGTATTAATGAAGAGACTTAAACGAAACTAACCGTATAATACAGATAAAATGTTTGGGTTTTATTATGATCTGACCTTGAAGTTGTAAGTGTGTGTTAATTTTTCTAGGATTGTTAAAGTAAGCATTTTTGCCTGAAATTACTCTCTTTTAATCCAGTAAACATCACATTCGTTTCATGGGTTTCCATATGAGGAAACTTTTAACTTGACCTTGATCTCACACCTGAATATCATCATCACCTTGATACGCAACGTTTAAAGGGTGAGTAAACTGTGTGGACATTGACCGTTCGGCAATCTTTAGACTTTACACGAATCCTTAGACTTTGACCGGAGACCAACTTTTAGATTTTAAACGGCAGGAAATGGACTTTGTCCGACAACCTTTAGACTCACATCAGCGTATAATGGTTTATGACCGGTCTGCCACCTCTGGTTTTCGAACAGCAGAGAAAGGACTTTGACCGGTCGGTAATCGATGGACTTTGATCGATTTGGAGTTTGAACAGTAGGGATTTCGATCGATAGCTTGATCTACTTTCCAACGACCTGCGGAAATAACGTGATAATACAGACAATATGTTGCATATAATCATCAATGATCTGACCTTAAAGTGTGCGCACAGACGTGACTAGTGTACAGTGATATCGCGTTGTATATCCTAATAATGTGTCCTTGAACTCACCTGTAGCTTATTTAAACGATCAAATGGTTCGTCGACCTTAAATCACCTTGAATGTAAAATTTACACCGCAACAAATAGGATCTCTGATGATCTTATCAGTGGAATGTGACTTTCAAATTAAGATATTGATTTGTCAGATTACTCCATTTACTCGAAGAAAGTAGAGCCAATTGGATCCAAATACCAATAACAATTAATAAATCCTACTCTACTAAACATGCTCTCCATAAATACTTAAAATGTAATTAAGGAAACTACTCTCTTTCAATCCAATATACATCACATTCGTTTAATGGGCTTCCATATGAGGAAACTGACCTTAATCTCACACCTAAATATCATCGCCACCTTGATAAGCAACATTTAAACGGTGAGCAAACTGTGTGGACTTTGATCGGCAACAAACTTTTGTACTTCACACTAACCTTTGAACTTGAATGTCGAGGAATGGACGTTGACCCTTCGGCAACCTTTAGACTTTACACGAATCTTTAGACATTCACCGGAAACCAACCTTTTGACTTCGAACAGCTGCGAATGGACTTTGACTGATTTAGAAGAGGCGTGTAATGGACTTTGATCGACCAGCAACCTTTGGACTTTGCCCCATCGGCAGCTTTGGACTTTGAACAGCGAGGGGACTTTGATCAATAGCTTGACCTACTTTTCCAATGGGTGTAATGGATTAATACAGGGATCACCTCGCGCTACTCGTTTCTTCAATTTTGTTCTAGGGACTCAATAGGTACTGATAACCAGGTAGGTGAAATTCAATTGGAAGTCTATTGATTAGAGTATTCACCTAAATTGTGATCGTAATGAAAACAATATCAGCCATAGTAACTCTTTATTGTTGTAATTAGTAAATGCTATACATCAGATAAGCAGGGCGATGATGTAAAATTTCCATTAGGCATACAATGTTGTGCGAATTAATGTTATACTTGAAATTAATTACGTCCTCAATGTCTTTATAAATATCATCATCATTAGCACCATCGTCGAATTCTGTCTGGCGAAATCGACGATAGCTAACAACATGTTGTATAAACCGTTCAAAGAAAGACTCTAAGTGATATGATTCAAGAAATTCTAATCGATAACTAATGATATCCTTTAACTCGAATAGTTCTTCTATACCGCAAACATCGAAAGTACATGAGCAGTAATTGTAAGTTTCAATAGACACAGTTTTTAGGATGCTACCATAACCTTTAATTAACTCCCAATTGTAGTAGATACCGAGGTTTGTGGACAGTGACTCATATTGCTGATCTTCGATTATGTCTTCCTCTTCATTAATCTCGGACCAATTAATTTTACTTTCGGTTTCGTGAGATCGGGAAAACTGCACCTGCACATACGAATACCACCTTAGAAGTTCATTCCATTCTTCAAGTTTCATAACCATAACGTGACCCCGTTCGTAGTTGCCGCTTCCAATACGTAGTACCGGTGCAAGATTCATGAATGTGCTGTAACCGATTTCCACATACTTTGCATGATGGTTGCTATTCGATAGTTTATAATAAACACAATCGATTAAGTTTTCTTTGAGCGCTTTTTCATACACCTCCACTTCTTTATCATAGTCACGTAACGATGCACATTCCGCGATTGATGCACATTCAGCAATTGTAGAATAACCATCATCTACACTTTCTACATTTTGGTTAGTAGCACTACTATCATCGCTATTTTGACGAGGTAAGCAGCATATTAAACTATTATTATTTACACTACCGTTGCAACAATTCGGTGTATCCATATATAAAGGCGTACTTCGCTGCTTTGATCGTTCCACAAATGAATTTATTGCTTCCTGCATTATGTATTTAAATGATGAGTTCACTGGTTCACAATTACGTTACAACTAAATATTTTACAATCGACAGCCTGAATCACGGTCAACACACATTACTACTATGAAGAGAACGTTATATTAGTTGTTTTTCCTACTGCACCCGAACTAGCCATGTACACATCACGTGCCTTTAACGATTTTTTAAATTCCTCCATGCGGTTCCCTTCTTTGAAATAGTTAAAAAAGCGTTGAGGTAATATACACTTAAAATCATGAGTATCTATTATTATCCGTTCTCCGTACTTGGTATTAATCACATCAACTTCCAACCTTCGTACTTTTTCGATAATTCAAGCTCACTAGGATTTTTAAAAGGTTTGCACAACGTATTACGGTTTAAATCGGAGAAATCCATCTTTAATTCAAGGCGATGACTGACGGAATTATCAGGTACACGGACGCGCTTTATATCATAATAATGTGACCTTGAACTCATCTCTAGTTTGTAAAAGATCATTTGGAAACGAGAAATGACCTTTGATTGATACCTTGCCGGTTACTACAGGGGAGAGCGGGGAGCGAGCGATCTTTGGACTTTACCTTGACCTACTGTCCAAGGTCACCGCAAGGTTAGTAACAGAGGGCAACACTCCCAAAAAGTCGATGATCTAGAATGACCTTAAGAATGTAGGCCAATGACCTCGAAATTAAATGGTTCAATGAGCTCGGATGACCTTAAAAATGTAATTTGACACTACAAAAATGGGATCAATGCCCTCGGATGACCTGTACCACAAAGATATGATCAATAACCTCGGATGCCCTTAAAAATTAACGGGGGTCAATGACTTCGGATGACATTGAAAATTAATGGGGTCGATGACCTTGGGAATTTATGGAGGAGTCGATGACCTTGGATGAGTGAAAATTAATGGGGTCAATGACAACCGATGACCTTGAAGTTTACAATGACATCGAAATTATATGGTTCAATGACCTCGGATGACCTTAAAAATGTAATTTGACACTACATAAAACGGGGTCAATCCCCTCGATTGAAATTGAAAATTTATTGGGGCAATGACCTCGGATAACCTTGAAAATGTAATTTGATATCACAACAAAACGGAGCAAACGACATCGTACGGTCTTAATATTTTAGGAGGGCCAATGAGCGCGGATGTCCTTGAGAATTTAATAGCCTCCGATGACCTTGACAATTAATGAGATCAACGACCTCGAATGACCTTAACATTAATGCGGTCAATGTCCTCGAATGACCTTCAAAATTAATGGGACCAATGACCTCGGATGACCTTGTAATTTATTGTAGCAATGAGCTCGGACGACCTTGAAAGTTAATTGGGGGTCAATGATCTCGGATGACCTTGAACATTAATGGGGTCAATAGCCTCGGATGAAAATTGAGGTCGCCGCCCACGTGGCACGCGAATTTCACCTTGACCTAATTTCCAAGGTCACCGCCCACGTGGCGCGCGACTTTCACCTTGAACTAATTTCCAAGGTCACCGATCACGTGTCATTCAACTCTCACCTTGACCCAATTCCCAAAGGTCACAGCCACGCCACCTTGAACTACTTTCCAAGGTCACCACCAGGTAGCGAGCGACCTTGAAGTGGTCCAGGAACCCCCCTGTATAACTACTATTTATGATAACATATAAACGTATTGAATGAATTTCGGTTTACATTTAATGTAAGAAAATACAAGAAAAAATGAAATAATTTATTTATTAATGTGTAGACACAAAATAAAAAATAACATACTTATTGTCAATCTAATCAAATTTACGTGACATCTATAGCCAGTCGATACTTTACAGATCTCTATAAACACTTTAATTCATAGTCAATTTTGACATTTTTTCGAACATTTCATGATCCTCAGACATATTCACGTTCATCACTTCAGCATCAAACTTCGCTTCCTCATTCAGCAGCACTTCCATATCACATTTTAACGTTTTAATATGTTGCACTAACGTTTCCCATTTCCTTTTCCCATCTTCTGTAGATGTAAAAAATGTGTCCAATCTCCTTTTCATATCTTCTCGCCGTACAATCTTCCCAATCATCCCACCTTGAGTTATCCGTCGTACGTTGCTCATATTTATTAATATATTAAGTACTTAATGAATGCAAAGTTTCCAAAGGTAACATTTTATAATGAATACGAGTCCTTGAATTTGAAAAACGTAATACTCAGCATGGTAATCTTGGAGGGGACATGTTGAAAAGATCTTTGCGAATGACCTCGAATGACCTTAACATTAATGGGTCAATGCCCTTGAACATTATGGGGGCAATGACCTTTTGATGACATTGCGAAAATGCCATTTGATGCAACCAAAAAATGTGGTCCAATAGCCTCGATGACATCGAAATTAATGAGATCAATGTGACCTCGAATGACCTTAACATTAATGGGTCAATGTCCTCGAATGACCTTCAAAATTAATGGGACCAATGAACTCGTATGACCTTGGAAATTAATTGGGAATCAATGATCTCGGATGACCTTGAACATTAATGGGGTCAATAGCCTCGGATGAAAATTGAGGTCGCCGCCCACGTGGCACGCGAATTTCACCTTGACCTAATTTCCAAGGTCACCGCCCACGTGGCGCGCGACTTTCACCTTGACCTAATTTCCAAGGTCACCGAGCACGTGTCATTGAACTCTCACCTTGACCCAATTCCCAAGGTCACAGCCACGTCACCTTGACCTACTTTCCAAGGTCACCACCAGGTAGCGAGCGATCTTGAAGTGAGCCAGGAACCCCCCTGTATAACTACTTACAGTGGCCTTATACAGTTTAAAGAACTCAATGGATTATGAAATAATAAAATTAAAATCTAGAAGAGAAGCAAGCAAAAGGAGCTAACTAGTACCTTCAGTTAAATTTAATATAAATTACGTTAGCATTTAGCATATCAGACCATAAGAACGTTTATATTATGATTATAAAGGCAATTTGCAAATATTATCTTTAATTCTATTAATTAATGCTAATTGAAAAGAATTTCCCTTGTAGTGAAGTATTCCATTAATGGGTTTGCACTGAATATAAATAACAAATGCTTCTAAGCTGTGATTTTGCACCTTTTCTAACTGGAAGAAAATTACAATGGAAGCCCATATTTAAGTTTAATAGGCAAAGAATCTACCCAAAATCAATAGAATAGCAGTTTAATTGAGTCCCGACTAATTATTTTGCTCAATTAGGCATGGTAAAATTATAAAACCCTACAGTAAATCGTAGACAGCCTACATGTATCTGGAACCTCGTAATATACCATCACACTACCAGAATAAATCAAAGATATGTAAGTATGCAAATGTGTAATTATCAATTATATATCACAGTTATACAGGGGGGTTCCTGGCTCACTTCAAGGTCGCTCGCTACCTGGTGGTGACCTTGGAAAGTAGGTCAAGGTGACGTGGCTGTGACCTTGGGAATTGGGTCAAGGTGAGAGTTCAATGACACGTGCTCGGTGACCTTGGAAATTAGGTCAAGGTGAAAGTCGCGCGCCACGTGGGCGGTGACCTTGGAAATTAGGTCAAGGTGAAATTCGCGTGGCACGTGGGCGGCGACCTCAATTTTCATCCGAGGCTATTGACCCCATTAATGTTCAAGGTCATCCGAGATCATTGACCCCCAATTAATTTTCAAGGTCATCCGAGCTGATTGACTGAATTAAATTACAAGGTCATCCGAGGTCATTGGTCCCATTAATTTTGAAGGTCATTCGAGGACATTGACCGCATTAATGTTAAGGTTATTCGAGGTCGTTGATCTCATTAATTGTCAAGGTCATCGGAGGCTATTGACCCCATTTTTGGGGCATCAAATTGCATTTCCAATGTCATCAGAGGTCATTGTCCCCATAAATGTTCAAGGTCACCCGAGGACATTGACTTCACTTTTTTGTTATCAAATTACATTCTCAAGGACATCCGAGGTCATTGGCCCTCCTAAAATATTAAGACCATACGATGTCGTTTGCTCCGTTTTGTTGTGATATCAAATTACATTTTCAAGGTTATCCGAGGTCATTGCCCGAATAAATTTTCAATTTCATTCGAGGGCATTGGCCCCCGTTTTATGTAGTGTCAAATTACATTTTTAAGGTCATCCGAGGTCATTGAACCATATAATTTCGATGTGATTGGCCTACATTCTTAAGGTCATTCTAGATCATTGACTTTTTGGGAGCGTTGTCCTCTGTTAGTAACCTTGCGGTGACCTTGGAGAGTAGTTCAAGGTAAAATCCAAAATTCCAAAGGTCATTGACCCAATAATATTTTCAAGGTCATCCAAGGTTATGACCTAATGTTTAACCTTCATTGACCTTCAATGGTGTATATAAGAAGCTGCAGACCAGTTTATTGTCACTTATGGTTTACCGATTACTTATTATCGCAATCCTAACGTGCTCGCATAGTTATTTTATTCGCATGAGTTATATAGCCTTTTGAAGGATATTATAATTTGTTCATTACCCAATGAGTGTGTGTATGTGACATATTTTGTTTAAAATAAGTGTTCGTGTATGTTGTATTTTATTATTGGGATACATCATTTTTAAAAGGTAACTATGAGTGGTGTTGCTATTTCAAGTAGTGATTTAGTTAGATTAACGAAAGATGCGTTTGCATTATTAAAGACGCGAGATGAATATATTAGGCATATTAAAATCACTAAAACGAATATAAGACTACTGCAAAAGATGATTAAAAATAAAATTTACTTAGAAGTAAATGAAAATTTGCTTAGATTAGAACACAACTTATCTTTACTAAAATGTTATTTTGTAAGACTTAAGCAATTAAAGAACGCTTCAGAAAAAAAGGGTGGTGGAGCTAACGGTACCTCAGGAAAACGAACACGTAAATTAGGTTGGTACACTCTAGATACATGCTTCAGTGGTAGGTTACTTACCGGTATTATTGTAAATATAGGAAACGTTAAGGATCCTAATATTTTATTTAAAAAATGCATACCAGAGTTTTGCACGAAAAATTAAAATAATGTTACGACAATCCATGTTGAAAGTGAATGTTGTTTTGGCTTGTAATTTTATTCTACCTCACAATCAGACTGTCGAACTTAAAACATTTGCTACAAAAAACTGTATCATTGACTGCAACACCAATATACGTCAATGGTATAAAGAAAACGTGTATTTTAAATTACAGCAGAAATTGGAAGAGTTTTCCGAAAAAGGCTCAGGTTGGGCTCTATATGAAGTTTTGCATTTAAAAGTAAATATAAATACTTACGTTCCTATTAGAGGTAGTTGTTCAACTTACGTCAAGCTACCCTATTTCATAGCAGTAAAGCACGCGGTAGTAAATGTTAAAAATAATGATGAATATTGCTTTTTATGGGCAGTGGTTTCGGCTCTGCACCCAGCGCAACGAAACATTAAT